CCTAATTTCAGGCCTGATTATACCTGAACAGGCCTGATCAGGTCGGATTTCAGGTCTGATCAGATATGAACAGGTCTGATCAATCCTGATCATTTTTTCCCGGGCATTCTTATAAACTAAATCTACAAGGTGACGAAGTGTGACGGCTCATTATTTATATAATTTATGTTATTTAATATTGTGTTTTGATGAAAACCAACAATTTTTTACGAATATTTATTAGTTAAAAAAATGCAAAAGTCAACTTCTTATATTACTAAAGATTTTGTACATACTTTTGTATATTTTTAATATTTTACTGTAAGTTATAATGTTTAAAATTATCAATATTAAAAATTCAACTGTAAATCGTTATATTTTAATTTTAAGACCATTTTAATTTTGACGATACGCAATTGTTTTAGTTTAACAATAAATTAAATAAACACTTGTTAATCCATTTACCTCACGTAGTGAAAAATTTAGGACTTATATGGGCTCGTACATGCTATGAATCTAAAGTTTTCAATGGTCAAATATTTAAATTATTACATTGAACCATCATCAGCAAATGAAAATGTGTATTATTTAAGATATTGAAAAAAAAATAATTTGGAAAAAAATTTTGAAAAATGCCAAATTTGTCAAATTTTGAATTTTTGAAAATTGTCAAAAATGACGGTTGACATTAAAATTTTGGCTTAAATTTTTTTTTACAATACTTTGTACTGATCTTCAAAGATCCTCAATTTTTAGAACTGTTTTTTGTCAACATTTTTTTTTTGTGACGCTTGGGATTCTTTAGAAGTTGCAACAAACAAAAAAGAATTGTTTTTTTTAAATTCAAAAATGTATATTTTTGAAAAAACAAAAAACACAGTTCTAAAAATTTCAGGATCTTTTAAGATCAGTACAAGGTATTATACAAAAAAAAAAATCGAGTCAAAATTTTAATCTCGACCGTCATTTTTGACGATTTACAAAAATTCCAAAATTGACAAATTTGGCTTTTTTCAAAATTTTTTTTCCAAAATGTTTTTTTTTAATAGCCCCAAGTGTCCTTCTGCAACAAACGAATGGCCATTCCTGTATCTATAATAGCGTTCGAGATATTACAAAAACAAAATTGAAAAATTGAAAAAATCGCGAAATTTCGAATTTGTAAATCTTTTGAAAAAAATTTTTTTATTTTTTTTCCTTTGGCAGAATTTTGTTTTGTGATGAAAGAAAATTTCTGACCAGTATTTATCCAAATCGAAAGGGGTCCATTCTAACTATTGGTTGATTTGACATGGAATGACCTAAATATATTTAATCTCTAATCATTTTTTAAAAGAGTTAATTTTTTCTTAATTTGAATCTTACAATATAGCTTCAAAACAAGAAAAAGAGAAAAAAATTAAGTAATTTTCGAGTTCCAAATAGAGTCAAATAATACTGAAAAAAAAAAATTTGACAATTTTAAGAAAATTAAAAAAAAATTTTTTTCGTTGCTCATTTTACTCCTTTTTATAGTTTAATTTTTCATTTTTTACCAGTATTATGATATTGCTTCTGTGATGCTGCATTATTTTCATGTTTTATAATAAAAAAAATAATTTTCTTTATACGCCTTTTTGACTTTAAGAAAAATTTTTATAAAACCAAAAGGGCATATACCTTTGAAATTCGCCCTTTTGGCATTGGTAGATTAAAAAAATTTTTTTACTGATCTCGACGTTTTGGACGATACTGAGTTGATTAGCAAAAAAAAATTTTTTTAATCTTTAATTTTTTTTATCATTATAAATATTTTAAAAATAATTAGTAGAAATTTATTAACATTAAAAGACTGATATTGTCGGACTTGAGGGTTCAAAATCGGACCTCTCGGTGAATGTTCGGATCCCTGGGTCCAAAGTCGGAGTTAAAGGACTACAGGGCTCTCAGTCGGAACTATTCCGGGTTAGAGGGATCTATATAGGCTCTAAATTTCGACTCGGGTATATATGATCATGTATAATCTTATATGATCAGATCCAAAAACTGTCCAGATTTAATCATATCTAACTATATGCCTCGAAAGAATATTCTGATCAGACCTAATATAAAAATTGGCAATATCAGACTTGATCAGGGTTGATATGGCCATATCAAGATGTAGACAAACCTGAAGCCTAAATAAAATTGATAAATAAATTTATAATCATAATAAAGTTAATACAACATTCATTTCAGTTGTTTGTACAACTTTATTCAAAACAGATACACTCTGTATTAGAGTACAAAAATTCTACTCTTTTAGGAACTTAACACTTCAGAGTCAAGTATCTAGAAAGGAACAATTCTGCGGCCATGCGCCATCTATCGAAGACTTTTAATATTAGTTTCGACAGTGCGGAACATGTGATTGCTCCGTGGTGATGTCTGTTATTTGAAACTAATTAAAATGTTGTCAGATTTATAAATATTTCACTGATTTTTTTAATTTTTTCCAAAATTCTCAAAGAATTTTAATAATACATGAATAAATAACTGAAAGGTACTTTTCATGGTAAATTTATAAATCATACACAAAAGATTTTTTCATTTGGCATAATATTGAATGAAAAAGAATAACAATATCAATTTCATATTGTATTTAAAAAATAAAAAAAAAATTTTAATAAAAATTTAAATAAAAAATTAATTTCTTAAATGAAAAATTTTAAAATATCAATTTCTCAATTAAAAAAAAATTTTGTGAAAAAATTGAAAAGTACATCATTAATTGAAAAGTTCTAGAGCAACTTTAAAGATTTTTTTTTAAATTAATACATTTTACCTTTTTAGTAGATTTCATAGAAATAAATAAATTTTACATATTTTTCAAATTACTCTACACTTTTAAAAAACTTAAAAAAAAAAATTACTGTTGTAGAACCAATCGGTTACCGTGTTTTATCCGGTTTAAAATTTACAAAAAGTAAATTTTTTTTTAATTTTTTAAATGCAATATGAAATTGATATTATTATTCTTTTTCATGCAATTTTATGCCAAATGAAAAAATCTTATGTCGACGTTCTAATTAGTAAATTGTCTAACTCCATTTTAGAGAATCTTCTATTTGTACGAAAAAAACAATTAGTTCAAAATTCATTATCACTTTAAAAAACCATTCAATATCATTATTATCTATTAGAGATATAATATTTAGATTTGAATCGTTCAAATAATTTATAATTCGATTATGGCTACATCAAAATGTTAAAAAAATCACCCTCAAAAAAATATGGAGTTAGACAAATTGCTAATTAGACCGTCGATGTGTATGATTTATCAATTTATCATGAAATGTAATTTTTAGTTATTTATTCATGTAGTATTAAAATTATTTGAGAATTTTGGAAAAATTAAAATAATCAATGAAATATTTATAAATCTGACAACATTTTAATTTGTTACGAATAAAAGACATCACCATGGAGCAATCACATGTTTCGCACTGTCGAAACTAGTATTAAAAGTCTTCGATAGATGGCGCATGGCCGTAGAACTGTTCCTTTCTAGATACTCGACTTTGAAGTGTTAAGTTCCGAAAAGAGTAGAATTTTTGTACTCTATATATAATACAGAGTGTATCTGTTTTTGAATAAAGTTGTACAAACAACTAAAATGAATGTTGTATCAACTTCATTATGATTATAAATTTATTTATCAATTTTACTTAGGCTTCAGGTTTGTCTTCATCTTAATATGTCCATATCAACCCTGATCAAGTCTGATATTGCCAATTTTTAAACTAGGTCTGATCAGAATATTTATTCACGGGATATAGTACGATATGATTAGATCTGGACAGTTTCTGGATCTGATTATATATGAGTATAAATGATTATATATAAACATATCTGTTCATATATAATCAGATCAAGTTATGTATGATTAGACCTGGCCAATTTTTGGATCTGATCATATATAGACGATTATGCATGATTATATATGATTAGACAAAATCATGATTAGACAAAATCTTTTTTCATCGGGATTCGATTGCTTAAAAAAAATGAAATCATAATTGTCTCTTATAGTGTCAATAATTGGGGCTTTTACCTTATTATTTATTACAGTTTACTTTTTTCCGTGTAAAAAAAATGAGTATTGCTACTAATATATAATATTTTAACCAAATTTTGAAACTTCAGTTTTTCACATTCAAAGTTAAAGTAAAAACTTTGAAAATTTTATTGAGAGCATAAAGTTAAAAAATTCTAAGTCCAAAACTGGACTTAGTAAATGTTTTCAACTGTAAACTGACGAAATTCTATGTTCCATGAAATCGTAAAATTAACCTACTTATGCTCTTAGTAGGCTGAAGTACCGCAAAAAAAGGTGTTCAAAGCGATCCTAGGTTTTGGAGGTTGAAAATATTATTCTAAAACACTAATTTTGGCCTTCATACCCTATTTTGAGTACATTGAGGGTCGAAATAGTATTTCACATTCAGCGATAGGCACATCATCAAAAGAAAGTAGGCTTTTGAGGCTCGAATTAGTGTTTTAATTTTGACTCGGGTTTTGTATTAATAATTGCAATAAAATGTTAATTTAATGTCTTGAAAATATAGTGCACTTCGTAGCATTAAATGTAAACACACAAACGTGTAACTCTTACAAAACGTTTAGTTTTAATGTTTAAGTGCATAAAAAATACGTGTGTTAATATTCAACACATTAGGAAATGCATTATTTGTTAAAACGGATAGAACGTGTAAAATTTACACACTACGTGTGTTAAAACTATGCGTCCAATGTATTATTTTAATGCACGTAAAATCATTTATATGTTTAAACGTGTTGAGAAATAATTTTTACACGTTTTCACCTCTTTAAATTACACACGTTTTACATACTTGGATTTGCAGTAAAAAAGACCAAAATGCTTATGCGCCTTTATCTATTTAGCTGTATGGTGATCTTTGAATATCTCATGCTTACTATGATCTGTAAACTTGTTTTTAATAATCGTACATCTAATTAATTTTTTTTTTTTTTTTTTTCAGTATATACTGATGGAAGAGTGTGTATCAGCATTTTGCACGCTCCTGGTGATGATCCAATGGGATATGAAAGTAGCGCAGAAAGATGGAGTCCAGTTCAAAGTGTTGAAAAAATTTTATTAAGCGTAATTAGTATGTTAGCTGAACCAAATGATGAAAGTGGAGCTAACGTTGATGCTGCTAAGATGTGGAGAGAAGAAAGAGAAGAATTCAATAAAATTGCTCAAAAACTTGTACGTAAAACACTAGGTGTACCAGAGAATCAATGAAAAATTTTAAAATATAAACTAAAGTTAGAAGCAAATCGAAAAGTCAGTAAATATAACACATACATACATGTGTGTGAGCGCAGTAAAAATTATTTTGAACCATTCAAATATTTGGACACACGGAATTAAAGTTTTTTTAAATAAAAAAAAAAGTTTTAGCGGTTAAAAATATTCTTTTAGCTCAAGAAAATATTGACTTCGTCCGAGATGGTCTTGGCCTTAATAATACTTTTTTGATTCGAGAATAGTTATATTTAAAGCTGACTATTCTTTTCGTGTATATAAATATATAACAGCCGTAGCCCACTAACTCGGCTAGGCATAACTTAAACTTAGTAACTGTTTATTTTTTTTAAATGTAAAATTTTTTTTCTAACTAAGGCATATAAATTGTTGAAAAAAACCTTGATAAATCCAAATATGCATACCTTAAGCATTCATGTCATACATGAATTCTTTAAAGTAGAATTTAAGTATTCAACAATGCCAGAATAAAATTTTTTTTTATAAATTAATTACACGAAATTTATTTTATTTGCTCTTCAATTTTAAAGTTTGTTTTCACTTCCTCACTAATAGTATTTATTTTTATTCATAAAGAAATCTACAGGTTAAACGTCCTTACGCGTATCAACAGGTAAATAAAAAACAAGACAAGTAAAATGTTCAGTCAAGAAAACGATCGATAAGTACACATTTGACGTCAAGAATGCAATCTCTTTGAAGAATCTTAGAGATCGAACTGGTCAGACTGAAAATTACATAGAAATTCTGAAAAAAACATTTTTTTCGATTTTTTTCGTTAACGATAACTCACGAACGAATCAAGCGATTTTGACCGGCTCGGCGGCGATTGATGTTGTTATATCCGGCGTGCCGTCTATAATACAGGGCCTCCCATTCCAGCCGAAAAGTGCAGCACTTGCATATTTAAGGAACAACGACCTGGACTGCGCGACAATACACTCGTGGCCGAAGAATACACATTACCGCGCATTGTCACCTTATCGCAGGAACCAATTGTTTAATTAATAGTCCCACTTAATAAATCGCAACCGAGGTGATAAAAGACGCGAACACCATAATTCGACAGCTCATTTACAAGGTAACAGTTTTGCCTTAGAACCCGGGTGAGTATTACACCCCGTTACGTGTAGGCCGACTTCAATTATTAAATTAATTAGTCACCTTTCCCCTAATTATTCATTTCGATTCCTTAACGGTATTTCCGAGTTCTGTGATTGTGATTCTTCGAGCCACGATTCGTTTTGACAATAATCGAGATTCCCGCAGTTTCGGTGACCTGGTTCCACTCTCAAATTATTTTATTCTTCTGTGAATTTATAATCGGCGAACTTTTGTTTGCCGGAGTCGTTACTCCGGTTACGAACTCATATAAGCTTTCAACTTGTTTTATATTGTTATTAGTTAATAAGTGAATAGTGTAAGTTAAGACATGTTTGTCCATAGGGCCAATTAAACAGAATATATAAACCTAAAAACTCGAATCGAAGTGTATCATCATTTCTAAGCTAAGAACCTTCAGCCTTCAACCTTCAGTCTCCAGTCAGTAGGAGGAAGCGAGAAGCCAAGTAGCGGAAGTCAAAAGGTACAAGTCCAATCTAAAGCCGAATCATCGTTGGAATTAGGATTCGCAATAGTAAGTGGAGGATATTTTATTATTTCCGAAGTCGATTGTCTTATTCAAGGGGCCCTCTCCGGGGTTTTCACCTTCACGGACCCATAAAATATAAACTTAACGATTCTTTCGTTAGGGAAATTCCTCTGTTATCCGAACCTCCGTGAGCCTAGCTACTAAAATCTAAGATCATATTTTCTCGGACATAACAGACGTGAATTTTTGGTGGCAGCGGTGCGATTCGAACGGTGATCCCTCGTATTTGACAAACCACCCCGGTTCAAAATTTAGTGAAAAAGAGGTATTTCCTTCTTAACTCCTCCAAAATCCCCAAAAATTTTTCAAAATCAATAACCACACCCAAAATTTCATAAATTTTTTTTTCTCTACTTTTATATTTTATATTTCGTTATTTTACATTCCGCTAGCTAAGCAAAATTAAATTTAACTTCGATTCGTTATTTGAAACATCCAGTGTAATTCAACACTAATTTTATTTTAAAAATTTATATAAATTCAATAATAAAATTGAAAATTTTTTTTTCTGCCCTCCGGCCGGAAAGTGGCAACTTTCTGGCCGCTGCGCTAAACAAAGTTGCCACATTCCGGCTACGTCGAGCAGAAAAATAGTATACACACCTTGGCCAGTAAAAAGTAAAGCCTCAGATCACATGTTTGTCAACCTCGGCTTCGCCTCGGCCAACAATTACATGTGGTCTGAGACTTTTCTTATTTTACTGGCCTAGGTATGTAATATACTATTTTTGCTGACGTTTGAAATTAGCCATCAGCTAAACTGTTCAAATTTCTTTTCTTTTATTTTTGCTGACTTTGATAAATAATTTTTTTTTGTTTCGAATAAACTTTAATATTATTTATATAAAAATTGCTGACAAATAATTTTCTTTTTGTTTCGAACAAATTTTAATTCTCCTTAAATAAAATTGCTGAAAATTAATGAAAATTTCTTTTTCGTTCAGCGTTCTATTCTTCGGAAAATACAATCCGCAGTACCTGAAGCCGATCGAGCAGCCACGATGAACCAGGCTCACCAACTCGCGTTAGATGCATTTTTCGAGTCACTACGAGACTATCTGAAATGCCTAGCATCCACGGGTCAATACACTACTCTAACTGCCCTGTTCACAGCTATTGAAAAACAAGCGATAAAATATGATAATAATATGCGGCTACAAAATCCCAGGCCGATTCAACGTGATTCCGAAACAGATACGACAAAATTCCACGGTAGTCATAATAGAGTTAACGGAAATCCGGCATATTTCCAAAACCAACAACGCTTTCAACAAGTCATCCCGAGTCAAGGTCATCCATGGACCAAACCCCAAGAAACCGAGTTGTATGTTAAACCGAAACCGATCGCGTTCGCCTACAATGTTTCTGAATGTCCGGAATATTACACACCAGCCGAAGATCCATACTTTGACTACCCGGTAGTCACTGAACAACAGTACTATGGATTACCACCATGCGGAGATCCCAGCTGTGATGATTCGGACTGCGAGCCACCACAGGCCATGGCGTTCACCATGAATGGAGCGCCTCAAACGCAAAATAGCTACCAAAGAGAGCCGTTTCAGCCTTTCTCAGCTCAAGGCCAGTATTGTACACCGTACAGGGCATACGGAAATCGCCCTTATCAAACCTCTTACCAACAAGGAGGTATTTATCAGCCTTATAGACCTCATAATTTCCAGTCATTTCCAAGTCAGCTACATCCACCTCCAGCGGCCCCGAGGGAACAACAAATGTTCCAAACTTACCCTCAAATGACATCTGTCTCTCCCCGCGAACCCCGTGACTGAAACGATTAACCCTCAGTTACCAGAAGAGGACCAGGAACCCGCACCGATTCGTTTGGAGAGACACATCAAGAGCATGTACTTGAAGTTTCGAACGTTCAAGAGCTCGGAGTTCTGTAGCTGCCCGGGATATCCCAGGAAAAACCTGAACACGGGTTGGGTGAAGATCCGTTTGAACCGACTTAAAACTCAACGGGCGCTCGTCAGACTGAGGGTATGGCGAGTCAGCCCCCACGCCCTCGACCAATGACAGCAGCATAATATCGTCAGAGGAGCCAGTAAAGGGCATCGCCCTTGCTACCGGTAGAGGACCTGTTATCGTAGCTAAAAGCCCAAAATTCACCGGTAATCAAATTGAAATACTCATCGATACAGGAGCCAACTATAATTTCATCAGCATCGACGCTCTAGCCAACGAAACTACCTTCCTATGCAAAGACATGGGACAGGTGGGGGGGATCGGAGCAAATCAACAGCCGATTATAGGAATCGTCACGATCGAACTCTTCGACAAAGTAATATTATTCCGTGTCGTTCCCCAGCGATTAGGCGGTTACCTAGCGATCCTCGGTAATGACTTTTTAATTAAAGAACAAGCAAACATCTCGCTCTATTGGTATACAATGGTCCTAAGAAGTCGACCGACGCGACCTATACTTTTTTCCATCAGAAGAGGAGCTTGCGATTCTCAGCTCCTGGCGGTTGGAAGCGGCCCAAAAATAGACGTCGAATGCCCGGCTCTGTTAGGAAAATACCAACGATTTATCATAGATACAGGGGGGGATGTATCTATCATAAATAAAACAGCCCTCCTCCCGAACGTATATATAGATCCCAGCCGCCGCGTTACAGCCCGCGGAATTAGTGGCGATCCAGTCGAAACTCTAGGTACAGTGAATTTAAAAATCCTCGGAATTCCAGTTACTTGTCAAGTCAGCGAAGAAGATTTACCGATTCCGGGCGTAGGAATCCTAGGAAACGACTGGTTAGACAAAGAAAAAGCCGAAATATCGTATTACGAGCAAACATTAACTATATTCGTCCGGCCCAGAGACCCGATTCCATTCAGCCTAGACATAGCGAAGTCGCCGATCTTCACGATTCCACCTCGCACTAGAATGGTGGTACCGGTTCCGATTGAATCGAAAAGTATATTACAAGGATACCTCCCGCGCATTCCTGCACCGGAAGGAGTATTTTTAGGCGACGCCATTGTCTTGGCCGATCAAGGCTACGCAAACTGCATGGCATTTAATACCACAGAAGAATCAATCACCATGGACCTTGATCCACAAATGCTAAAAGATTACGAGTTCCAAACAAATAACTCGATCTCAAGTTCCGAAGATTCTATCAACGAGAGCGCTCCGATTGACACTTCAACTCAAGAGAGACGGACAAGCGAAATTTTAAAGAAAATCCCATCTCAACACCTTGATGCTGAGCAAAAGGATCAAATTTTAGAAATTATTAGTGAATTCACAGATATATTTCACCTAGCCGGAGATAATCTAGGCTGTTCTAATCGGGCGACTTGTAGAATACCGACTAAAACAGATAAGCCGGTACACATTAAACAATATAGATTTCCAAAACAACATCAAGAAGGAATCCAACGACAAGTAGAAAATTTATTGCAGCAGGGTATAATTAGAAATTCAAGATCTCCTTACTGCTCTCCAGTATGGGTAGTACCGAAAAAGGCGGACCCCATTACTGGAGCCAAGAAGTGGAGGATGGTAATAGATTTTCGTGACTTAAACAAAATCTCGATCGGAGACGCGTACCCCCTCCCATCAATTATCGGCCTCCTTGACCAACTAGGAGACGCTAAATTTTTCAGCGTTTTCGATCTCGCAAGCGGCTTCCACCAGGTCCCAATGGATCCGGAAGACGCTCATAAAACAGCATTCTCGACACCCTTCGGCCACTTCGAATATGTCAGAATGCCTTTCGGACTAGAAGGTGCTCCAGTTACATTCCAGCGGATGATGAACACCGCCCTAGGCTGGCTACCCTGGATCCTAATATATTTAGACGATATCATCCTACACGCGCGTACTCTAGAAGAACACGGCATCAGAAGTAAATTGTTCCAGGTCATAAGAGAAGCAGGGCTAACCCTACAGCCAGATAAATGTAAATTTTTCTGTACAGAGGTAGACTATCTGGGATATGTTATTTCTAGAGATGGCATTAAACCAGATCCGAAAAAAATAAAAGCCCTACGCGAAGCTCCTAATCCAAGAAACCAAACCGAAATGCGGAAATTTCTTGGACTAGCAAATTATTATCGCCGTTTTATCTATAATTACGCCGTGCGAGCAAAACCGCTCACTGACCTAACTAGAAAAACTAAGAGTTTTAAATGGTCAGCAGAAGCAGACTCTGCCATGCGAGACATTAAAACCGCCTTATGTGTAGACTCTACACTAGCGTACCCAAACCTCGAGAAACCTTTCATCCTAGCCGTCAGTTCATCAGACGAAGGCATTTCGGGTATTTTAAGCCAAGAGCTCGTCGGTAACACTCTTGACTTCCCTATAACGGAACAAAATCATCCGTCAGTCAAAACAGGTAATAATGATAAAATTGTCGCATGTACTTCTCAAATCTTAAAAGATGCCAAACTACGCTACACTCCTGACGAAAAAGAGTGCCTTGCTCTAGTTTATTCAATCCAACAATTTCGTCCTTATTTATACGGAAATAAATTCACAGTACAAACAAAAAAGGCTTGCGTCGCCTGGTTGAGAGACACGCGAGATCTCACCGAACGTCAGCGAAAATGGCGCTCTAAATTAAATGAATTCTCGTTTACGGTCGTTATAAAAACAAACGTAGGCGACCAGTATGCCGATGCACTATCATTCAACCCGAGAGGAAGAACAGAGGAAACTAAAATACAAAAAACTCAAAACCATATTTTAGATACACAAAATACAACAAGTAATAATATCACAGAAACATTATTATTACCAGCCAATGGCACCGATCCGAAGGCCCCCGCAAAGAAGAGAGGTCGACCACTCGGATCTCGTACT